CTTTTTCATGTCATTTCCAGTCCTGTAGATCTCTATCAAATTCTCCGTCAGTTGATTCTACTCCAGGCTGAAGATTGTCAAATTTCCTTCATCATATGGAAGCTGCTCCAGAAGCCTGATCACCTTTATCACTCTTCAGATATTCACTCTGAAATGGGAATGAGAATTACTCACAGCACTGAAGAAGCAGAATAAACCAGAGCTCTACACAGTCATTATTTCCAATTTTCTATTTCTTTTGTAATAATTCCTAACTCAGTTTCTGTGTGGTATTTTCTGACCGATTCACCTGAAGTCAATGGAGTTGGGAATTAACTTCTGTTATTTAATGCTGTGCCCAGTTGTCCCCACAGCAGCTACCAATACTTATCATGTTAACACCATGATACCTCTGGCTCTTTTAAAAAACATTGCCTGCTATTTGTGATTTTCAACTGTCCAGCTAAGTTTTTAAAACATGATTTTCACATACAACATGACATCAAATTCTTCTATTTATCCAAAGCTGTCAACTAGTTCTGCCAGTATTTTTTGTAGGAAATAACATCAGACCCTCAAAGAAAAGCTTGGCAGAGTGAGGTTGGCTCTTACCTAGAGAAACTGGGGCTAAAACTACTTACTATGGACAAAGACAAAACCTTCAGGGACCTTGATGCAGGCAAAAATAAGTTCATGCCCTGTCCAGACAAATGCACAAAACCTCAAGCAACAGCTGATTTAACTTAACTCTAAAGGTTAGAGGAACTCTGAGACAGTGACCGAGGTGTTTAGAACCCAGAAAAGTGAAATGGAGATTAGCTTCTCTCACCAACAGGCAAAACCAGAAGCAATATGAATTTAAACAGCCCCAGCTTTGACTCCATCAGCAATGCAGTTCTACCAGCTGAACTGCAGCATTGTCTCTGCTTGTCCAGCTCAGGTAAGATTTTACCACTACAGGTAAGATTTCAAATACTCTTCGTCCCACCTGAGGAAAAAAATAAGGTTACACATGTGCTACAAGGAATGCAACCTGAATACAACAGAGCTTTTTCTGTGCCCATCAATGTCAAAAATCACCTGTAAAATCTTTACTACCAAAAGAGACTTCCAAAAAGGAAAATTCACATTTGGTTTCTCACAATCCAGACTGGATTTTCAAGCACTGAAGAAAAAATCCCCTCTAATCTAAATAAATAGATTCAGAAATCAGTAAGTCTAAGAAAAAGCATGGCAATGTGGTTATCCACAATTCAGATAATGAAAACACAAAAAAAAAGTTCCAATAATTAATGTTTTTAAAAATCAATTAATAAAAATTTTAGTCAATGGATTATTCACTTCTTTTTATTTCCATATTTATTTTTAGTCCACAAATTCTTGTCAACAAGAGTACATAAAGACCAGCTAGGACTGGGCAGAGAAAAGAGGCAGCAGCTCTTGTTTAGATTCATGAAGGTAATGCTCATATGCTGTAGCTGCATCTCATTTGGAAGCCATTCACAAGAATTAAGGTAGAGGATAGATATGCCATATATATATATTTATAGAACATCAAGATATAGACATAAAATACATAACAAAAAGGCTGACATCAGGACAGATGGCTGGTTCCTACATTTTTGCCAGGATATGGCTTTCTCTCTTCAATTACGACTAGATTTGTCAATTCTGATTATGTATTGACATAAAATTGTTACATCCAATCACATAATCAAAACTGTGCTACTAATAAGAAAAATTACATTAAAATAATTTTAATTTTTTTTTGCTAAAAATCTTTATGTGTTTCTATATGTATCTTCTGAAATTTAAAAGCAAGTCAGAAGAGCAGGGTGGGAATCTGTATTTCTGTATATGCATAATCTATGCAATAGGCTGCTTTTGAAAAGACACAAATTATGATAGAACTAAAATACACTGTGAAACAAAAATACATTGTAAAAAAATATATCAAATTATTCCAAAGACATAACGCAAGCAATATGCACCACATAGTTTTAGTAATAAATTGGAAATTACATAACATGAAAAAAATACTATAATTCCTTGGTCTGCCACTAATTCCACACTGATATTATCTTTATGTAGTGAGAAGCCGACATAGCAAATACTATTTTCTTTTCTTCATGTTATATAAGAACAGCAACTACAGAAGTCCTGAAAATGGACTTCACCCTTCTCTCACAATTAAATTTTGTATATTTCCAGAAACATATTTAGGGAATAATAAAGCAGTTTTGAAAAATCTGCGAAGAAACACATAATTGGAACACATTAAATTACTTTGGCAGTGGGGATACCACAGGAGAACTCAAAGGTGGACGTTTTTCTGAAGCTAAGTCACAAAGATGACTAGAAGGCACAAGTATATAGTTAACATTTACTCTTTCCATGTGAATTTTGTCTTATATTGTATCAGGAAAGCAAATGATAGCATTTTTAAATTCTGTGTTATATTGCCCTTCTGAAAGCATTCTTCGTATTCGATTGCACCATCTGGTTGGCAATTTGCCTATGTGTCCTTCCTGCTTTCTCAGAAACTAAGTGGGGATGTGCTTAGGAAAGAAATGGGAAACATTACCACTCAAAGACTTGCCTGCCTGCACCATTTTAATTCAGCTCCCATTCTTGCCTCTTTCCTTCCATTTCATCACCATGTTCCTGACCATCCCTGTGGCCATGGACAGGGTTAATTCCAGAAGCGATGATGCCAAATATTTACATTTCAAATAGCTTTCTAAAGAAATGTTTCCATGTATTTCCTCCACAAATAACAGCATTTTAGGGTTGGTTTATGTGGCTGTATTTAAGGTGCACAGAGTATTTTAATATGCATCAGAGTATTTTAGTGTGTCTTGATGTATCCAGACACATGGTTCTTCCCCTGCTCTCTTATTTTTGAACAACTTGTAACTAGAAACTAATTTTCCACACATTTTTCATTTATATTTTATCTATAAAGTCTTGTATCAAAACATTAGCCATTCAATATGAGGACACCATAATGATAAAGCACTAAAAAAACACCTTTTAAAAATTTTATTTTTATTATTAAATAGCATGTGGCTATTTAATAGCCACATAGCATGTGGCCAAAATGTGGCCCTACTTCCTCTACAGCATTCCCTCTAACCATGAGATAGTTGTGCTGGTGGGCTTTGTACAACTAAGGACTTCATATTAGGACTACATGAAGGGAATGCAGCTCACAGTTCATTCTCCTCTCTCTAACAGACCTTAGAAGAACCCAGGGGCTTTTTGCCCTTGTCTTAGGCTGCCATATTAGAGGCAATAACACTATCCAAGTATAGCACAGGTAAATGAGAGATATCCAGGACTTCCAGCCTTTTGGAGAGTAAAGATAATTGGGAGCATGAAAAGTATGGTGTGCACATATCTGCTGTCATCTGTGTCATACATGGGTCATATATGAGTAAATAAATCTTTTCTTCCGGCAGAGGTCAAGAGCTCTAGAAGACTTTGGTCTCAGAAACCACAGATATTAGAGAGCTGATTTGATGAATGTATTAGTGAGGATCCAGATGCAGAGATTCTACTGAAATATCTACATTTTCTTACCCAGGAACTAACTGCACATCTGGAAAGAGCTCTGCAGAGTTGGAAGAAGTTGTTTAAAGGCTTAAGGTTAAGTCCATAAGCCATTAGAAGTCTTAGATAGGAGACAAGCATTAATACAGTATTCAAACCCTTCAGAATCTCAGCTCAATTAGCACCCAATCCCACAGTTTATGGACCAAGGCTGCCAACGTCACAGCCATCAATGGTTCTTTCATGGAGTGCTCCTTATGTACCTGAGGGCTTATATTTGGACATACCTGGAAGCACTCCCCCTTCTCAGTGCTGATAAACTCAATGTTCTGGTCAGACCTTAATCTCCACTGGATCCACGAGTATTTCTCTTGTGACTAACAAGTGACACCTGCTCATTCTGTATACACTGATCAGCACACCATCCTTCTCCCTGTGCCTCCCCTCTCTTCCCACCTTCACTTCACGTATTGCAATAAAAATTGCAACCCACAAGTCATACATAGAACCTACATTCATTCTATTTAGAGCACTGGAAGAATGTGGTGCTCTGTAAAGAGAGCAATTTATGATGCTGACTTTAGTAGGAGTAGGGAAATCCCTGAGATTATACAGTTCATCAGAGCAAGCTTTTTCCCCTTTCCTCGCAAATGTCATCTTTGACCTCAGCTTTACACTTGGTACTTTTACATCTCCGTGTATTTCGAATCTCCCTGCTCTCCTGCAAACTTTGTCATTATTCTCTAACTGCTGCCTGACTCAGCAGCAGCCTCTTCTCTTTTCTGAGCTATTTATGACTTAATTTGGTGCCACAATGTTTGCTGACTACTTCTTTAACTCTCTCCTTGATACCTTGACATAAAATAATCATGCAAATTGGATTTATTTTTTTTTTTTTAATGGGAAGTGACTCTGGTTTTCCATTAAAGTGCTTTTGGTTATGCCAAAGCAATGCAACTGGCCATAACCAATACATTGAGCACTGTTATGTTACAGTTCTGCCTGTGAAAACTCTTAACAATACTGAAGGAATGTCAGTATTTTGAAGAGGATGCAACATCTATATTTATATACACAATAGTCCTTAAAAACTTTCTGAGCACAAAGAAGTTTTCAACATTAAAAACAAATATTTACCGTAGCTAACATAGCCATAGTGTCTTAAATAGAACCATTACTCTACACTGAGTATTGAGTCATACATCACTATCCAGTATGCCAGAGCACTGTAACAGTTAGTTAGCAATGACTATTTATGGGAAAACCTGTACATGTTGAAACTATGATCCTATTCCTAATCCTATGTAACCAAAGATATGTTATACAGATTATAAAGATTTAGAAACCTTCGCAAAACAGATGTGACAAGGAACCCACTACAAGCAAGCATATATTGAATTTATATATTAATTTATACAGTGCCCATCTCTAAGCAGAGTCTGGAATCCTGTACAAAATAAACAAAAATTAAACCAAACTGGGCTCAGAGCCAAGAGAAATCAGCTATATGAATAAAATTGGGAGGGTGAAAGAAAACTATTCCAAAAAGATATATACATGTCTCCAGATACAGTGCTGTCTTAGTGGACACATCATAATATCAATACTGGAAGTAACAGGAATATAATTTACAGCAAGGATAGAAATATTCAAGAAAAAAAGAAAGCAATTATGACAGAGTTAATTTACAGCTATTGAAAGCCACAGTGCAGAGGCAATTACAGTGGAGGAAATACAAACTGTGTAAATTTTGAATGAAGATTGAGTACCTGTACTGTCACACAACATCTAGAGGATTTCAGCTCCAACTATTGATCATATTCCATTTCATTCTTTGATTGAAATATTTAAACAATAAGAAAACATTGCAACTGCTGTGGGAGAGCTTTTGGGTGTGTATTCCCTCAAATATATGAACTCTTATTCTATTACTGTCCTCCTTCCCATATTTTATTTATAACACATCAGGGTTTTTAGTCCTTTTTACAATTTTGATGACTTAGATGAATAATGATGAGGTAGCTGCCTAAACACAGAGCTGCTATGAAAAAATGCCTCTGAGATCTAGGGGAAAAAAAGAGAAAGAGGCAGCACATTTTATGTTCAAAAGGCACAAGAACCAGACCATACAATTGTCTTTTGGCTGTGTATCCTCTCCTGATCACAGAATGGGTCAGGTTGGAAGGGACCACAGCAGCTCATTTGGTCCAACCTTCCTGCTCAAGCAGGGCCAGCCCAGAGCAGAAGGCACAGGGTTGTGTCCAGGTGAGGTTTGTATATCTCCAGGGAGGGAGACTGCACAAGAACTCTGGGCAGTCACCCTGAAAATGGAGTCTTTCTCACTGTTCAGGTGCAAGGGATATCCTGCGTTCTAGTTTCTGCCCATTGCCTCTCCTGTTCCTGGGCCCCACAGAGCAGAGCCTGGTCCATCCTCTGATGGACACACATAAAAGATCCCCTCAGAGTCTCCTCCAGGTTAAACAGGCCCAGCTCCCTCAGCCCAGAACTGGATATGGGGCTGAGCAGAGGGTCAGGATCCCCTCCCTGACCTGCCATCAGTGCCCTTCCATGCCCTGGCCTTGTCCCCCAGGACACACTGCTGCTCAGGGACACCTGGCTGTCCACCCTCCTTGACAGCTGCTTCCCAGCAGCTCGGCTCCCAGCCCGGACAGTGATGAACTCCCTCTGGAACTACCTCTTTTGCCCCAGCACGGACACCTTTAGGCCTGGGCGCTCAGGGTGGAATCCATTGGTGGCAATAAGGGCCTGCCAGGCCCAGAGGGGCCGGGCCCGGGGTGGCAGCACTGGCAGGACCCTGCAGGCCGCCTGAGGGGAAGAGCTGCCACCAGTGCCTGCTGCTCCGGACTCATTTCATTATTGTGTTACTTTGCCCATACCACTGGCAGTGGGCTCTACAACCATTTTATTTCTGACACCCTGTCTCTCAGGACACCTCAGCATCGACCCTGCTGGTGACACACAGAATTTTACATGTTTATTCACTGAAGACATTTTTAGTGACTCCCGTGCTCTCCAACTCACTTTTTCAGAGTCTCTGTCTAAACAGTGACTCCCGTGCTCTCCAACTCACTTTTTCAGAGTCTCTGTCTAAACAGAGACTCTGAAAACCTCTCCTAAAACTAACAAAAACTTTTCAGATTCCTTTACCAAGGGACAAGATTTCAAAGTGAGATTCAACAACCAATTGAATCCCAGGCAGAGAAGAAAAAGACCTTTTCTTTCTCACTTAGTGGTTTAAGTTGTACTGAAGGTGAATGGAGCAGTAATGCTTTGGAAAACATCAATGATGCTAAACCACTGAGAAAATGTAAACACATTTGAAACATGAAAAAAGTATATCTATAAATAGTTGTAAGGATGGATAGTAATCAATAATGTGTGAGCCTAACTCAATTAATTCATCTTGTATGGCACAAAATACCAGTATACTGAGGAACATTATTCTGGAAAAAACAAAACTGCTTAAAAAACATAATTTTAAAAGTATTTTCAAAGCCTTTGCGCTTCATTTAGCATTTTAAAAATTGTTAACTAAATTATGTAGCTGACAAATTAATCTCTTACAAGTATAATATAAAGAAATGTGCCATGTCAATGTTCCTCTTAAAAATTCTTATAAAAGTATATTTCAAATTAGTAGATTAAACCAAAATCTTTGACTGTATTGCATAAAGCCTTCACAATTAACTTCATCTGTCATTTACAATATTTCTATCTATATCTAAATATTTATTTCAAACACTGAATTTGCTTCCTTAATTGTGTGTTATATTTTCATGGGAGTGTGTCTCCAGGCAGATATCTGCATATCCATGAGCAAGTATACAAACACCTGGTACAAACCTTTGTCTAGGGAAAGTTTAGCAGAGAATCTCTTTAACCTATGATTAAAAAACATTTTCTTCTTCATTTTACTAGGAATCTCTTATTGATTTAGATCCTGGCTGAAGCCCCCAATCAGCTTTAACAGAAATGAAGCTCTTCGACTTCTAATTATAACACAGTTTTCATTTACCCTTTAAGGAATTACAATGCATCAGGATACAATTTTCTCTCCTGAATGTTTGCCTCCAGATTATTAGTGCTTTCTCAAAGTTTTAGCCAAAACCAACTCCTTTCAAAAATGCAACAAAGATGCTTTACTAGGGTTAGTAAAATCTGGCAACTCAATGCTTTAAATGTTTTTGCACTCCGAAACTTGAGGGCAAAGGTATAAGAAACAGAGGCAGGGAGGGGAAGCTGGAATTGTAAAAGAAGGAAAGTAATGAAGTATAGAACCTGAGGGACAATTCTCTTCAATAAATGAAATTAGGCAAGTCCAAAACTGGAGGCAAAAAAAAAAGAAAACCAATTCTCTAATACTTAATAGCAACTTACACAGCTATGGCATAGAGCCCCAGCAATGCTCTTACAGATCTGTGGCATCACTCAGATTGGAGGGGCCCTTGCTGGGCCTACAGTCCAATCTGTTGCTCAAAGCAGGGTCAGACCAGAATGCAGATCAGTTTTCTCATGGTTTTTTCCATTTGGGTCTTGTAAAGCTATATAAACAGGAGAGTGAACAACTCTGGAGGTCCAAAGCTTAGCAAATTTATTTTTCCTTGAATCCAGGCAGATCCTCCCCAGATCCAGTCTGATCTTTTTCCTGCCACTGTGAACCTCAGTATGTTCTCAGCCTTCTCCTCTTTTGTCTTCCAAGTTTTGGAAATAATGCCAAGATCAGACAAGCTGCTGTGGAAAGGGAGAAAAAAAAAGCCAAAAAAAACCCTGAAAAAACCCATTAAAACTATATTACTATAGAGACTGGGTGGAGGAATTACGTGAAATAAAATGCTGTAACAGTACTCCATTAAACAGCTTAAATGGAAACAGAGTGAATGAGCATGAGAATTGGGAGTCAAATTCTATAGCCTGCAGTCTCCAACACAGAACATGGTGTAGCACTATAACCACAGACAAAGGAGATGAATTAAGGCTACTAACTTAATTCTTACCTTAATCAAGTATTACTAACATTCCAGCTGCAAGGTTTTCTTTTAATGCAGTTTTCTGCATGTAATAATGAACCATATACCTATTTAACTGATTTTGATGCAAGAGAACTGATAAATTAGAAGCACAGTCATGAAAAGCCTATGGCATACAAGTTGTGATGACTACTGTGGCATTTGCCATAGTTTTCAGGTTTGAATTGCTCTTTAGTAACATTAATTTCCCAATGTGTGACCATTTTTGCAGGCACTTTCTGAGACTGGCCATTGCATAAGTAGCTTAAACCTTTTTCATGCAGACCCTTTTCAAAATCTCATTACTGAAAATAGGAACAGTTCAACTGATGTGGATTGAAATCCTTGGACTTTGCAAGTACATCATATTTCTGAATACATAAAGCTACAACTCAGCAGGTACTTAGGTATGTGAACACTAATTGCATTCTAATAGTACTTTTGATATCAGTGGAATTGACAATGTTTTTGAAATGAATCATCCACATACCCATAATGCCAAGTAAGAAATCAGACTAAACTCAGAGAAAAAAGGGATATGAATGGCCAGAAGTATGATGAGGACATTTTTATCTTACAGGCATTGTGAACAGAAGGAGACAAGAATATTAGTAAGTGGTCACAAAAACATCTCAAGAACACATAATAAAGATGTACATAAAGCCTATAGAAAGCTTTTCATTCTCTTTTGCCCCAAAGACTCAGCAAGAGTCCAGCACTTTTGTGCTTCCAGGAAGGGTAGCTTAGTGGCACATTGGGATCTTGCCTTTGAAGCAATTTATTAGTTACTTAATTAATTAGAGAACAATTCAGTACCAGATCACACTCCTAAATGAAGTTAAAAGCAGTGGAAGAGAGGATCTGAGATCTGCCTCTTGCTTTTTGGTAAGGAAGAATAGTGCAGCATTTAACCCACGTTCCTTACTTACAATCTTATGGGAAAGGGAGTTCCAGTGCACACAGCAAAACCCAGCTGAAATTATTCTGACCAATGATGGAGTAAATGCATCAAATAATCCATCACAGAAATGTTGGGACTAAGCCAGCTAAACCTCATTCATGTGAATAATCCCATCAATGCAGAGTCTAGATTAAAGGATACACATCAAACCTCAGCAGAGTTAAGGTTTTAAGCTCACCGTTTTACACAGAGATAATGTTCATATAAACATCCAAACTTCTGGGACATTCATTAGAATCAAAGTGCAAAGCTCTCAGGGTCTGATCATTAATATGCTGGCATACAGCAATCTCTGTGAGGCAATCAAGCTCTTTTTCAAAATCATACGATTTTTGAATTTTTCAAAAGCTTTCTTGCTTTTGATTTACTACTTTTCTTCTAGGGTTTATCAACTGCTTTTAGCTTCCTGGCACACTCCCAAACTCATCTGGGCAGTAGCATGAACCCAGTGAGCTTTGCATCTAGAATTCTATCTTTAAAAAGTCAAATACCTTTGTTAGTGTCACGGTCTGTTCAAGCTTTCAATACACAAAGTTGTTCTCTCCTGCAGAGCACACACACAGAAATAATCGTGCTCCCAATGCAGCCCACACACCAGCAACCCAATTGCTTTGTGTTTGCTGTGTCACACTTAACCTCAATGTTTTTAACCTGTGTTTCCTATATACAATGGTAATTGGAAATGGCCTTCAACAGCATCTCAAGAACACAATTATGTTATATAATGAGAATTAGCAAGACACCATATCACCCTGTTTATCCATAAGTAACTGGGTATGATGAATGAGTAAACCTGATCCTAGCTAATGCCTTTCTGACCACCAAAATTCACTAAATGGATGATTCTAATTGCTTCCCAGTGCTTCTGAAATACCACATTTACAGAACTTCCCTCTTATAATCTACATAGATGGTCCTATTTAAAATAAAATCTACCTGTGTATGCTTCAGGCCTTAGTTTAATGAAAGTCTACCCTTATTGTAGATATAGCCACACAGAAACCATGGAAGTGACATTGCAGACCACAGTGTAATGGAAAATGGTTTTTAATGAAAAACTGACATTTTTCTGAAGTAATCAACCTTGATCTTATCAACAGGTAAAACACTAATCTCTCTTTTGCCAAACCCTGGGGATTGCACAGCTGTGTTTTCTTGTCTAAGTTTTCATTAAACTATGTTTTAGATAATTCAAAATATTCACAAACCTTATTTAATGCAGGGCACATCAGTACTGTTTCACCATTCTCTGTTAATATTTATTTAGGGGCCCCAAAAAAAACAATGAATGCTTTCCCATCCCAAAATCGGAAAATTCTTTGGGTTGGAGGGGGCTTTAAAGACCATTCTGGTCCAACCCCTGCTGTGGGTAGGGACAGCTTCCACAATCCCAGGTTGCTTCAAGCCCCGTCCAACCTGACCTCAGACACTTCCAGGGCAGCTTCTCTGGGCAACCTGTGCCAGTTCCTTCACAGGGAACAATTTCTTCCAAAATCTAATCTAAACCTACTCTCTTCTCAGTATGCAAATACAATTTGTAGGTAAGATCCATGCTAAAAGTCACTATAAGTTTTTAATTCCTTTAACTGATAGAGAAATGGAATGTTTTGATGTTACCCAGCTCGGATGAGCTCTCCTGTGCCCAAAACAGTTCCCAAACCAAACTTCCCCTAAATAGCAGTTGGCACTACTACAGTGGTGCACAGACACAGAAGCACCATGATCTTCTTCCGTGATGATTGACCATGTCAGTAAATCCACTGACCCTAGCACTTTGCTACTTAACCTGTTTGTCCTTGCAAGGGCAAAGCCTGCTCCTCTCCCCCGCCTTGAGGACACATGGATCTACAACTCTGCTGCAT